GGTCGTGGAACGAATTACTTGTTGATTCATATTGCTCAGTGTGCAATTGTTGTGATCCCTGAAAACTGAATGATCATATTCCTCCTTAATATACTAAATGTAATACTTTGTTAAATAACATGAGATTAGATCAAGAACCATTACTTTCTACTTTTCTCATAATATATAATACGAGCTGTTAGAAAAATTTAAAAAAAAAAAAAAAAAGTTGCAGTGTTTACAACTCGAATGTCTATATATATTGTGCGCGGAGGCAAATTTAGCTGTTTGTTAGAAAATTTTAATAGTTTCTTTCGCAATTAATTTCGTGTATGACTTCTGAGTTTTTCCATGGTAATAGTGAAGTTAATTAAAAAAAAAAGATTATTTATAACAGTAAAGTCATAAATCTATCTTTAACTTATCACGTTCAAGAATCGAACTATGTGTTGATTTGTGATGACCCGATAGGTCATTTAGAGTTTTAGTTACTAATTCTATGTTTCGAAGTCTCAAATACCTCATTTTAGCCTTTCTCGATTTGCATGCGCAATCCGAGCGTTTTTTTCTGGAAAACTTTTATGTTAAAAACTGATAAAATATGAAATTTTGCTTTAAAAAATTCATTTGAGTTGACTTCGGTCAACATTTTGAGCAAACGGACCCTGATTTGTGTTTTGACGGTTTCGGTGGGTTCGTATCGTGATTTGGGACTTGGACGTATCCGGAATTGAATTCGGAAATCCCTAGCCCGAGTTATCGCATTTCGTTGAAATTTGAAGGTTTAAAAGCTTGATGAATCTAAAGTTTAACTAATGTTTGACTTTATTGATATCAGGTCCGTATTTTTGTTCCAGAACCCGGTATAGGTCCATTACTATATTTATGACTTGTCTGTCAAATTTGGTGAGAAACGAAGTTGGTTTTACGTGATTCGGACGTTCGGTTGTTAAAATAGAAGTTCATGAGTTTTCTTGAAAATTTCATTTGATTTGATGTTCAATTCATAGTTCTAGGTGTTATTTTGACGATTTGATCGTGTGAGCAAGTTCGTATGATATTTTTGGACTTGTGTTAACGTTTGATTTGGAGCCCCGAGGGTTCGGGCGAGTTTCGGATAGGCTACAGAGAGAATTTGGACTTAGAAACATTGCCGGTGTGCTTCAGTTCTGGTGCAGGCCTCAGACCTTGCAATTGCGAGGTCAGCCTTCGCATTTGCAACCTCTGTCAGGTTCGCATTTGCGACCAATCCTTCGCATTTGCGAAGTGGGGTTGGGAAGAGCTTCTTCGCATTTGCGGTCCTTTTGGTCGCATTTGCGGAGGGCCCAATATTCGCAATTGCGAACTATTCATCGCAATTGTGTTGACAGCAGAAATGGGGAGATTTCGCAGTTACGACTGTTTCTTCGCATTTGCGAACCCCAGGTCGCAAATGTGATATCTGCGACTGGGCAAATAGCTGAAAAACGGGATTTTCTCTCATTTTTCAAATTTTCAAAACAAGAAAATCCTAGAGGCGATTTTCCCAAGCACCATTCTTCCCCCAAATCATTGGTAAGTGATTCTAACATATTTTCTTTCAATCCTTCATTACATTTCATAAGATTTCAACCTAAAATCTAGTGTTTTCATGGTGGAAATTCGGGGTTTGGATAGAATTAGGGATTTTAATTTTAGCCCTCAATTTGAGGTCGAATTTCAAAACAAGTTACATAACTGGGCTCGGTGGTGAATGGGTAATCGGGGTTTGATCCGAATTTCGGGTTTGAACTAAGCGGGCCCCGGAGTTGACTTTTGTTGACTTTTTCAATAATGACCTAAATTGAATCTTTTGCAATCGTGAGTAGTTCCTGAGGCATAATATGAATTGTTTGGTTGGTAATTTGCTAGATTTTGTTGGTTCGAAGGCTTGTTTGAAAGGCAAAGTTGTGGTTGAGCTTTGAGTGGATCTTTGGAGCGAGGTAAGTGTCGTGGTTAACCTTGACTTGAGGGATTAGGACTTGTTTGTCTATTTGCTACATGTTTAGAAGTGGAGTACATCGTATATGTGAGGTGACGAGTACTTATGCGTTGTTGTTCGGTTAAAGCATGCGGGTGGGACTTGTTCCTTGTATTTTATTGCTTACTTTGATCATGTTATCCATGATTAGACTAGTTACTTATTAAATTGATCGTTCTTACCGCGTTCATTGGCTTTTGTGATAATTGGGTATTGTTTCTAAAGTTGAGATTGGTAACCATGGTTGACGTAAGGCTTGTTCTTGTTGATTCTATCTCCCTGTTGTTACTTATTCATTGTTATATGGTAAGGGAGAGTGTTAATGCACGAAGGGTGATGCCGCGCCGTATGTGAGTGTTTAATGCACGAAGAGTGATGTCGTGCCTAATTGTGAGAGTTAATGCACGAAGGGTGATGTCGTGCCATATTTTGAGAGTTAATGCACGAAGGGTGCTGCCGTGCCGTATCTATTGATTTATGATGAGAGCGATAGTAAAAGCACGAAGGGTAATGCCGTACAATATTATTGTTCCATTGTGAGGTTGAGAGTAAAAGCACGAAGGGTGATGCCGTGCAGTTTTGATTCATGGTGTTTATCTGTTTTACTCGTTAAAGGCATATTGACTGTTTGATTATCATTTCTGCTGTAATTACCGTATCTTGTACCCCTTTCGCATGTCCCCTCCCAATAGTAGTACAGTTTAACTTTTTATCTGTTGTTATCTTGTACGTATATTGTTATTTGCACAAGTTCATTACGTGGGTGTCTTGTCATAGCCTCATCACTACTTCGTCGAGGTTAGGCTCGAGACTTATGGAGTACATGGGGTCGGTTGTACTCATACTACACTCTGCACTTCTTGTGCAGATTTGGACACTGGCCCCAGCTGTTCGTGAGGCGTAGCAGCTTGGATTTGCTCATTGGAGACTCGAGGTAGATCTGCTGGCGTCCGCAGACCTTGAAGTCCCCTTCTATTTCCCCTGTTTTACTGTTCTTTTCGTTCAAGATAGTTGTATTTATTTCAGACCCTCTTTGTAGAGATTTTAGAAGCTCGCGAATTGTGACTCCAGATTCGGATTGTATTAGATATTATGGGCTTTTATATTATTCCGCACTCAGTTTTAGATTCATTTTGGCTTAATTGACTTTACTTATTGAGATTGAATAAAATTGGCTTAAAGATCCTCTAACTTTGGCTTGCCTAGCAAGTGAAATGTTAGGCGTCATCACGGTCTCGAAGGTGGGAATTCCTGATCGTGACATGATTATTTACAAATTACAAAAAAAAAAAAAAGATAAAACTAAAATGCACAACCTAGCTCTAAAAATTGGGCACGAAAAGTTCAATTTTACTTTTTTGTTTTGACCAGAGCATAGGGAATAGTTAATGAGTCAACATTATGAGGACTAAGTTTGAACAAGTGTATGTTCTAACTTAATGTAATCGTTCATTATATGTTCTTCCTCGAATTTATTTATAGAAATATTTCGCGTAATTAATGAAATTTCCTTTTGTAATTAACACTATATTTTTTATAAGCCTTAGCAATATCTGTCACACCTCCTTTTTTACACACTTACCCCGAAGGATAATGTATAAGGGAGTTTTTCCAATTTAAGTGACATTATTCGAAATGGGATTATTTATTTGTTCAGAGTCGCCACTTGGGATAGGTTTGGCTTTTGGTGTCCCAAGTCACCGGTTTATCTTGAATCCCAAATCGAGGAACTCGACTACCCGAATGGAGTCTGCGAACCAGAAATTCTGAATAAGGAATTCTGTTGACCCGAGGGAAGGTGTTAGGCACCCCCCGGATCCCGTGGTTCTAGCACGGTCGCATAAACTATTATAATTGGCCTAATATCTGATTTTAAAACATGTTTATCCTATAGTGAAATTTTAAAATTATTTACTGCTTTTACTTAATTTTAAGGAAATTGAACGTCGTTTAAAACATGTTTTTGGATCACGTCATATGAAATGCACCCGGATCCTCGACATATTTTATTCAACGTTTTGGGTTTTGGATTTGGGTCACATGAAATGCACACCTGAACTTGCGGGAGGCCATGAAAGTTCGCTAAATGGCACGTCCCGAATTCTAAACATTTTTATATTTAAAGAGGGCCACACAATCTATGAATTTTATTTGGCGCGGTGAACCTCACTTTATTTTAAAGGCCACCCTAAAGGAACTATTATTTCTTCTATTAAGTATTGTCTCTAGAGGGCCTAATTAATAAACTACTATTAAAGTATCCAAACGAATTCGGGCCTCAAATTCAAGTCCAAACTCAAACAAAAGAATCTCCATCACTGAAAACCCCTTTAATTTGAGCTTGCTACTTAACTTGAAAGGCCCAAACTTGCATTATGAATTTAAATTCATAGCCTTAATAAAATCCTTCAGCATTTTTGGGCTTCGAACTTGGCCCAATAGTGAGATATTTTCAACCAGTTTTATGAGGAGTTGCCCCAAATGGGCTTCCGAGCAGGCCCTGCGTGGGGGCAACGAAATTTGAACTTGGGCCCAAGCCGCCCAGGCCTTTGACTTGATGAAATCAATTGAATTAGAAGGGGGTGGGCCTGGTGTTAATTCTGGACACCTATTGTATGACTGGGCCATGTTAAATCAATTCCTTATGGCCCAGACAGTCCAGGTATAAACTAGACCAGTATTACTCAACAAATTACTTGATAGTGTAACCAATTTTCAATGTCCATTAACAATGAATCAATGAGCCAAATCCTGCTCTGCTTTTAATGACAAGTGACTGGACAAACTGAGTTTAATTAATAAGTTCTAAAAACTGAAACATGAGCGGCTGAATGTTTGATTTTGCATAATAGAATTTAATAAACTATCAAGTCATGATGGGATCTACTGATTTTGTATGAAAAATAGGTCATCTATAACATGTGATCCAAAATAAGCTATTAAGTTCCTAAACTTCACAAATTATAAGTTTTCAGCTCCTTCTAATAATTTCAAGCACTTAGATATAGAATACTAACACTAATTCAACACCTATGCTAACATGATATTAGATTCGAAAATGCAACTAAGTTGTACTAAACAATATTAGACATAGCACTCAAATTATGCTAAAACAAATAGTTTCTACAGTCCAAACAATCCTTAATTAGTTACAAATGAAAATTCTAATGAAATTATGAAACTGCTAGAAATTCAATAATGGAAGTTATCAGAGAAATCGGGCAGCACTTCGTTCTATTTCCAAAACTTGAGAGCTACATGATGTGTACCTAGAAATTTGAGGCAGAATAAGAAGAAGAAGGCAGAGTCAGCAACAGCTAACAGCAGTTAAAACCAGTAGCAACAGGATCAATTTCAAGCCCAAAACAGTATCACAGCAACCCAGGAATGAATTACAGAGGAACAACACCAACAAACAACCAAAAATAGACTTGATTGAACCAAAACAGACTCGAAATTAAACCCAAGAAACTTCTGAAACTTCAGCAACCAAAAACACAAGGAATCTTCAGGTCATTTTCGTCCTTATCTAAGCTGGAAATTCGAATTAACAGCCGGAATTCGAAATTATTCTAAGAAACTTCAATGGAATAGTATTTTTGGAGTTTTTGTGTTATTTTTGGTTTTCAGAAGATCTAAGATCTAGAATGAACTCTCACACTCTCAGATTTAAAACTTTTGTTTTTGAATTTGAATTTCAAATTTTCAGACCTCCTAGCTTCTAAAACATGTGGGGATTTTTCAGATTTCAAAACTTATGAAACAAGGCAATGGGCATTGCCTTTTATAGGCAAAACTAGGGCTGCAGATTTCTATTTTACCCCCTAAGTCCCTCTTTTATTTTTCAATTTTTAGCTAGTTAGTCCCTTATTTGTTGGCTTGTTGCCCAAGTTAGACCACTAAATCCCTGAAATTCTAATTGGAACCCCATCTAGAAAGTTCTAGGGGTTTCCAATTTCAGTTACTGCATTATTCTTTATTTTGAAGTACCTACATTACCCTTAGATTGGATTCTGAATTACTAAACTATGATGACTAACCTCCAGCCTTGTTAACTTTGGTCAAAACTGACCACAGTTAAGCAACAAATGCTGGATCATTCAAACAAATTCAATTATACTAAAAGAAGAACCTAAAATTGAACTAATAGTCTAATTATCCTATTTTAAGTATCAAAAATCAAAACTAATTATAGAATTAAACTTGAACAACTGGAATTAATTCTAATACCAATCAAACCAAAATTAAAACAAGTGAAGCTGCAAAGAATTAATATAAACAGGAAGAAGGAAATCAAAGCTCAAACCAGAATCAACGAACATGAGATATACTAACTGAGTTATCTAACTAGACTAATCAATGGGAGATGAAAATTAAAGATTTAAAACCTATATTAATAGAGCCAAACACTGAACTAAACCAACAGGAAAAATCAAAAGACACCAAAAATTAAAACCAAAAACAGAATGAACGGAACAAAAATCAATTACGAACCCTAAAAATTCTAAATCAATTCACATGAAAAACAATTAATCAATGAGGGAATACCACATGCGAAAATATAATCAAATGAAAAAGGAAAACTTACTGATGTAAACTTGACACTACGTTTGATGTTCTAATTCACACGAACAGCATCAATTTATAGTGAATCAACTCCTACATCACGAAGAACAAAGGCTTGGGGTCGAATGGTTTGAACTGTTGAAGCTCGAACTCGGATCTAAGATTTGAATGATTCTGGACGGTTTCGAAGGAAACCAATGACATATTAGGCGTGAGGGAGGCACGGGGGTTATGGGGTGTGAAATTGGTAACGATTGGGTGGCGGCGCCGCCGTGTGCGGCGGAGGCGGCATTAGGATTTTCAATATTCGAAGGGTTTGGTGAGGATTTGAAGGAAATGGGGCATGGATTTGGGATGAGGAGAGGAAGGCGGTCCAGTGGTGTAAATTTGGACGGGATTGGGTGATCGCCGCCGCCGTGGGGCGATTTTCGGCGGCGGTCTAGGGCGGAGCCGGTGGAGATCATCTCTGATGAGAGAGGGGTGAGAGGGAGATGGCTTTGGGGGGGGGGGGTAGGGCATGTCCGACACTTTTATATTCTTAATCATCGTTAGTTCCGGACCGTTGGATTGATGAGATCCAACGGTCACGATTAAAGGGTGAAAAAACGACGTCGTTTTGTTGTTTGAAGGTCTGGACCGGATCAAAGGTGATTCTGGACTGGATTTTGAACGGGTTTTTGGGGAATTTGGCTTGGGCTGGGGCAAAATTGGCCCAAACAGACTGGCCCTTTTCCCTTTCTCTTTATTTTCTTTTCAATTACTCCCTTTCTTTTATTTAAATTCAATTCATTTTCATTTCATTTTTTTAGAGTTTTGTTAAATACAAAATTAAAATGAGAAGACCTGATTTAACTCTAATTTTCTAAAATTAACTAAATCCTAATTTAAAAGAAACTAAGAAAAATCGAAAATTAAAAGTAAAAATGCAAAAGGACTATTTTTGTTATTTTCTCTTATTTTTTGCAATGTTAATTAACTAGTAAACCTAAAAAATGTAAAATTGGGTTCTAAATGCAAATGTGCTATTTTTTTTTTGTATTTGTTTTTATGAATTATGCCAACTAAAAATGCACACAAAATGCAAACAAACACAAAAAATCATGCAATTAATTCCCCAAAAATTCAAATAATAAAAGAAAAATCCTGATTCTAAGAATTCTATAGGAATAATTCAAGCGAGGCAAAAATCACGTGCTCGCAGCTGCCCCTCTTTGCTCGGAGACACGAAGGATTTTCGGGCAAAGATAAATGAGAATCATGAGAGATTTTTGCCTGCTTGGCACTCCAAGAGAAGCATTTTTGAAAACCGTCTGACCGAACCCTGCTTCAGAGGTTGCCTACATATCCTTGGCTATAAAGGAATCAGGTCAGTGTAGTTCTGGAAGTTTTGGTAGCTGGGACTACCAGGAGCTGTGATTTTACTGTTGTTGCTGCTGCTACTGCTTGCTGACCTCCTTATTACACCAAAAAGGAAAATCAAAGCTAAGCTAGCTATGCCTATCAACTATGAGTTACACGATTCCTATCTATAATTCTCTTGAAGCTTGATCTTGAGTCTTAGCTAATTTTGCCGTGGACTCCGATCTGAATCTTGATGCTCGCAAGTTGTGGATGTTGTTTCTTTCTTCAGCATGGGATCAAAGCGGGACTGGCGGAGCTTGTGACTTCAGTCAGGTTTTGAGCAGTCCGCATCTTTGTCCGCTTCAGCATTTTGAATTTATTTCTTTTTGTTCTTTTCTTCCTTTCTTTATTCTGGGTGGAGACTCATTCTTTCAGCTACCTCGGATCCTATGCCTCGAGGTCAAACCTGCTCAGATACCAAAACAAACAAACAAACGAAATTTTTCTGCCCCAGTTTTCACTAGGAAAGATTTCATGAGTTATTTGTGACACATATCTAAGCAATAAAATCAGGATTGTGTATCCTTGGGAATGAAGCCTTAAACTAGGGGGGGTTACCAGGTTATGCTGGAGAATGACCGGGTTATGCCGGAACAGAAAAAGGTCCTCGAGTTATGCCAGGGAGGTCCACGGGTTATGCCGGAATTAAAGAAAAAGGTTCCTTGGGTTATGCTAGGGAGGTCCACGGGTTATGCCGGGATAAAGAAAAAGGTTGGGTTATGCCAGGGGGTCCACGGGTTATGCCGGGATAAAAAGAAAAAGGCTCCTTGGGTTATGCCAGGGAGGTCCACGGGTTATGCCGAGATAAAGAAAAAGGTCCTTGGGTTATGCCAGGAGGGTCCACGGGTTATGCCGGGATAAAAAGTAAAAGGCTCCTTGGGTTATGCCAGGGAGGTCCACGGGTTATGCCGGGATAAAAGAAAAAGGTCCTTGGGTTATGCCAGGGAGGTCCTCGGGTTATGCCGGGATA